TCTGAATGGAAGTAGAATGCGTGCCGCATCCCACAAAGGGATTGATCAACTGCGAAGACTTATCCTTTCTAAAGTCAAGAAAGTCATGGTTGACAAGAATAAAAGACAGCCCAGTTCAGATTCCAAGGGTCGAATGAATAATGAGATAGTTGAGGCGTTCGCATTGCGGGGACAAGCAGAAACTAGCTGGCGATTTCTAGCTAGCTAAAATTCATTGTGCAACTCCCGTTAAGTGAGTTAGGTCCTGGTGCGAATGCCGCGCATGGACTCTACCTATTGTAAGCCGCAACGCAGACCTCCCAACTATCACAAAAGGGCAATGCATTCTCTGGTTATAGTCAGTTTATTCCGAGACATCAACATGCACATGATCTGCTGCTGAGAATGTGGTGCGATTGCTACAGGTGACAACTTTGGCCAAGCAAGTTCATAGAAGCATCGTGTCAAATGGTTGAAAAAATTCGTGGGGAAAGTCCGAAAATTTCAAGGCACTTGAACAAATTTTTGGCAACAGTGGAAAATTTCTGCAAAAATACAGCTCAAATTTTAGAGCATGAGGTCGGAGAGGGTAAATGGGGCCTAATTTAATATCGAGTCTGTATCTATACCCTCATAGGAAGTATTCAAGGTGCGCCCAAGTTTTGACTGGTCTGAAATTATCTGAAGTCCGAAAGTTTAGAATCTTCCCGAAGAAGTTACCCGATAGCTTCACTCCTTGACATGCTGGTTTCATAGGAGGCTCGATCGAATTGTGGAGCATTATCGTTGACGTCGACCACTTCAATGGAGAACTGACAGAAGCCGATCAATGGCCGATCACCGCGATCTGTTGCCTGTAAAAAGACTCGTTACATGCTTATATGAAAATGCACGATTGGGCATCAAAACCGTAAAGGGAAAAACCCCACTGTCGACTGGGCCAGCCGTTCCGGTGCTTAGGCTCTTTAAAGGAACGGTCCACGATGATCTATTATGAAATTGCAAAAGGTTGTGTGGGAGGGTAGCGCGGTCCACGGTGAACAACCTTGTGCCAGTTTTGCGGCGGAGTCGGCGGGAAAATATGCCAATGTAAAGAGTTTATGATGGCGCAATGCTGCCTCGAGTGACACCTCCCATATTTCCAAGCTGACTCCGCTCCAGACCCCGACCTTCAAAGCCGTCTTCCAGCAAAGCGATGCTACCAGCCATCAGTAGCAGCGAAGGGGAAGATGCACTATAGTCCATCTCGCAGAGCCATCACACGGGCCATTTTTTATCCTATTCCCAGAAAACATGAACGGACCGGATACGTCTGCAACACGCGATTTTCTCGTTTCACGTACAACTGTCGAGTTTGGCCGTGGTTCGTATTAGGCGGGGGGGGAACCTCCGTAACAGTTTCGACGTTTCTTTTAGTCATTTGGCAAGTTTGTCATCCTTATTTCAGCACCATTGAATAAACTCCTCATCGCGGACCGTGCCTTTGACGTTCGAAATTCAAAAAACTGATTGTCATCTACCAACGATCTGAGTGGCTATAATTCAATCGCGATGAAGACACGCCCATAACTATACCTAGAGATTTGCTTCGCAGCAGTCCAGCCTATCAATAAGTTGAAGTCAGCGCACGTAATCGCTGTGCGATACCCAACATGGGGTCGCACTTGGATGCCGTAGGGGAGGCTCTGGCAGCTTGTTTTTTCCCCTCGAGGGACTTTTCCCGTTGTACAGGAATATTACTGTGTCCAGTAGTCGATGAGGGGAGTCTCTCCCTCCCGTCAGATTTTGGGAATTTCTGCAAGTTCGGGAAAACATAGCAGGTTGGGCGTTGGTTAGGTTACGGAAGAGGTACGTTTTACTCATCACAGTGCTACACCTTGGTTGAAATAGCAATTTAGTACGACCTCTCAAGAAAAGGAACAGATCCTCAGGCGTGATGTGTCGCTTAAAAGTCCATGCATAAAATAGCTGATATTTAGGTGACACACTGTTACACTTGCACGGTAAATCGCCAGTTGTAATATTTCTTTTTGCCGCAGCGTTAATTCACAAAACGGCTCCCACTGGAGTCTCACTTTACCTTAACAGTAACATCCTCCCTTGGACGGGTTTCTCGATCGAAGATGACATGTGGTGATGGTGTTAGGACACCAGTCAGCTTGTCGATGACAAATGGTTTCCTGGACTCGCTCTGGGCATAGTAGAGTGAATAGACAATTTGACCATTCGATGAAGAATCCTCGTCGGTTGCCTCAACCTGCAAACGGGATTTTTTCAGCAAAAAAAATCAAGAAATCTCTGATGCAGCAATCAATAATATATTGGTTGACACAGTAATCATTTACAGCCTTACTTATAACTTTCAATTAAGCGCTGCGATAGGTGGTGGGCCAATGTCTCACGGTGCGACAAATTGATTTTTCTCAAGGAAAAATGTCACTCCCAGAGCTTACTAGCATCCAGTCCTAGCGGTACTCTCGATGCTCATCGAATGGGCGGAACCGGGCCCATTGTGACTCCTTTCCTATTGGCACACAATCCCTTTTAGGATTGTGAAGAGGAGGCGTGACGAATACAACAGTAGAACGGATGGCCGATGTGGTGAGGCGCCCGTAACACAGCATTCAGACTTCGCGACGCACGACGGTCGGTCACGCGCTCGACGCGATCGATGCAGTTGAAAGCATGCGCATCGATCGCGTCGAACGCGCGACCGAAGCGCTGCCGTCGCGAAGTCTGAACGCTGCCTAGAGAACGCTACGTAACCGTAGATCTTACCACAGTCGCCGTTGGCGCAAACGCGGTAGCAGGGAAAATCAGATAAAAACGGTGACCGGCATATACAACCTCTCAACAGCAACTAAAGTTGTACCAAATAATTAGTTTCAAGGTCTGTAACAGAAATTCCTATGGATAACGTTCCTCTGTCGGCTTGCGATTACGCTCACGATTTTCTTGTCCGTCTCCCCGATAGGGGATACCGGTGCAGCGACGCGCATATAAAGTGTACCAGTTAGTGGTGTCTAGCTGGTTGACGTGAAATACTATGTATACTACTACTGAAAACAGCTTGGAATAACTTTTAAATGAGTAGCAGCTGCACCTAGAGTTCACCCATAGACTTCCGACAGGATGGCAGGAGTTTCTCCTTCTGAACGTATTCATCACATGTTTTTTAAAATAATCGTTAATCGAGTACGTCGATTCTGTCGAGCTTTATAGAAAATGCGTAAGGAGACTAACCTGGTGATAATGAACGGATGGGATTCTTACTTTTTGTAGACCATCCTCCGTGACGTTCCTTGCTATTTTTGTCGGCGCCATGATTCTCCTCTTATAGCGTAGCGTCACAGTGTCCAAGGGCAAAACTCACCGGTCTGTTGTTGTTAACGTTCCTCATGCCTATTAAATAAGTTTCTCACCTTCTTGCAACGAAACACAAAAAATACAGCGTGAGAACCAATTGCCATCCAAGAAATAATTGATTCTTGGGCGCAGCGACGTTCAGATGGCAAAAGCGAAGCCTCATAACAACTTTAGTTAAGCAATAGAGAACACTACTCGAATTCCGCTGGCACCTCATCGTGTTTGGACCCTGGGAAGAGCCAAATGCGACGTCTAGATGCTTCTATATTTGTTCTTCAAGAAAAGATAGGATTCCTGGGTAAGGGGGCGGTCCTCAAAGCGTCTTGATTCCAGCGTGCACACTAGAAGTAATCGAAAGCTGCCGACATGTCGCGAACGCAGTGAGGTGTAAGCGCCTCTCACGCCATCACTACGACGCCCCACCTTCTTTACTGCGCAAAATCGTTAGAAAAAGAACAGCCTACCTATTAATACGGTGGCAAGAGCCGTATGACGAGGCGATTCTGTAGAGCAACAGGATCCATCATCACGGGCGATTACTGTAAGATTATAGGGAGAATCATTCCGAAGCAGATCAGTGGCCTGCACACCGGGTCGCAACTTGATCAAGCCTAAAAAATAGAAAAAATAATTAAAACTGACCAGAAGTTATGGAAAAAAGGGTGGGTAACAGTGATCATGTATATAACAAGGATCAGAGCTAAGGGGGTTGCAATATTTTGTTCGGTCCTGTTCTCTGCGAAAGATGAGGCGTGTCAGCGAGGCCGTCTTTGGCATGGCGCCGACTCATTCTCCATCACTCCTTGAAGCGGGTAAGCGACAACAGTGGGTGGAAAGCGATTGGGACAATGATATGATACAGCCCTACCGCTTCGCTACAACAACTGGTGAAAACCGGTTCGGCGCCGTGCCAAACCCGGCCCTCTGACACGCCCAGCATCCGCAGCGAACACGACTGTAACTGCCTGGTTACCGAACCATCTCTACGATATCAAGGCGCTCGTTTTTATATTACATATAATAGCATTCCATGCGTGGATTACCTCCGATTATCGAAATCTAGAGATCCTTTACTCATTTCTGACAAACGCCATGGATATGGAAGCTGGAGCAGCGATTTTCAGTCCACATGAATTCCTTTACGCCACGCGAGCAGTCAGGGTATGAAAGACAGTGCAGTTCTGTGGGACACGTTTTTGAAATTTCCCTTTGAAAGCTGTTCTTGTGTGCCGAATGTTTTGATGCAGTTCAGCTGATAATCTAATTCCAACGACAATCAGTGAGCAACATCGAAATTTAATTTTATAACTCTCAATATGATCACGATCAGGCGCGAACCCAAGAGTTTTCACTTTTCTGCTGGCAAACGGAGTTTCTAAACAATAACCCCGAGCCCAACCATATGTCAGACAATGAACATAAATTTACTAACCAGTGTCCTTGTCGATGTGGAACAAACTCGTCTCGTACGTTTCAATCCCTTCTTTACCCACAAACGCGTATTCGACCTGGTCTCGATCAGGATCACGTGCCTGCAGTAGAAATATAATTTGAAGTTGTTTTGTTATGATGCGTGAGGTGCGAGTTCGACTCCCGCCTGGGGCACGACTTTTGCCAAACTCAACCATTTATGAGATACCCTCGTCATCCGGGCAGTTGATTAGGGCGGTCGTCAACGGGCCGCAGCGCGTGCCAGGAACTATTTGCTTTTTCCAGGCTAATTTAGTCATTTTTTCCAACTTTTCACTGTTTTGGCTACTTTTTCCCAGATTAGCAGCTCCTTATCTTCACAAGGTGGAAAAAATGACTAAATTAGCCTGGAAAAGCAAATAGTTCCTGGCACGCGCTGCGGCCCGTTGACGACCGCCCTAATCAACTGCCCGGATGACGAGGTTTAATTTAAAAGCATTTGCAAAAGTTTTGGAAATGACTGATGTGAAGCCTCCACATATAGAAAGGATAGCAGTAAGTAACCAGGGGGAATACCTTCGAAATATTCCTTGTGCGACCTAAGCCGAGGTTAGTATTGTGGGCCCAAGCTATAATAGAGAGAGAGAGATATAAAATTGAAGCAATCTAGAGGACTGTACGCCTGTTTTGACGGTGTTAGTCCTACTTTTGCAGTCAAGCACTCTTGATGGGGAGGTGAGTGAGTATTTACTTTGCTGTAAACTTCAGGAACGATGAAAAACGTATTAAAGATGAGCACCGATCTGAAGGGGCTGGAGGCCAGCACGGGGTACTGACTGACGCGAGTGACGGCGAGAGACTGAAAGGCTCAAAAAAGAGTGATTGACGTGGCGAACACAGTACTTAAGGTGACTGTAACCTGCACAGAAAAGTTCGGTACAGACCTCCGGCACATTGTAAAATCAAAGGGCCAGCACAGATTTAACGATTTGAATGAATTGGAGGCAAAGCTGGCCAATTAAACGACGTTTGGTGGCAGCGGTAACAGGGTAGAGCATCGTGATATGTGAAATGATAGTGTAGGTACGACTCTCCCCGGCCTTCCCCCAAACATGAATTCAAAAGATTTCCCGGTCGGAACGGATGGGGGGGGGGGAGAATGCATTAGTACAGCATGAAAGAGGCAAAATGCACGCGAAAGGTCAACAGCAGCGAAAAATTCTTCGAAACGCAGCAAATTTCTCTGCAGCCCCACATAACGATTACTCCCCTTCTCCGTCTTCCAACGACCCAAAACGACAGCGCCTCCTCAGCGAAAAACTGAAGAACGACCCCCCCCATGTGTTTCACACAACGATGCTGCACCCTGAGCGGGAATCCGTCACGTCATGTCTGCTTGTCTGCGCCCTCTCAGCAAGAAGAAGCTGGCGCATATGCATAAATATTCAAAGATTTGATGGTGATGTGTTGTAGTCCTGAGGCGACGCGGCCAACTATCAACTGTTTTGCCCAAGCAATCTTGAGCCTGAAAATATTTTGAAAGGTCGCTGACCTGAATTTGAACGACCGGCGTTCCTCCTTGGGCATCTTCAGCCACATAAGCCGTATAGTGCCGAGTGGGAAAGAATACAGGTGCCTCATCGTTAGTGTTTTCTGTACGAATATGTACCTGAAAATGACAAAAATCCTTTTTGTTACATGAAACGCCTGCTGCAAGGGTTGACTTATGGGCCTGTCATTTTGTCGATATGTCTGCCTGTCAAGATGTTAGTGTGTCAGTACTAGTCTTTGGAGCGGTGGTGAGGCGCGTAGGAAACAAACGGTCTTATCTATTTGTCACGATGTTATGATAGTTACCACCTCTGGCCGCTGTAAGACACCCACTTTAGATTACTTGGTTAAAACTTCATGCAGAATCTATAGATGTGGAAGGGAATGTGAAGATTCGTTCTACAGCCCGAAAAGAAAAGGCGGGAGTTGCCGGGAGCTGCTATATGGTAATAAGTGGTGGCTTTGGCTGAATTCTACGAGATGCGCCATGAAGTTGCTTTACCTCCAGAATTGTGAGCACAACTAAAGAGATAGAGATGTGTCGCACTAACCGTTGCATTCGAACTTAGTGGCGGATTTCCAAAATCTGTAGCGGTGACATTGAATCGATAGATGAAGAAACGCTCTTTGAATTGATCGGCATCCAATCGGTTCTGAATGAGTAATTATAGAAAATATTAGCGTTGTAAAGAAAGA